CTCTGTTGCAGGTGACACGAGCCGAGACGACGAAGTCACAGACCGAAAGACAGACACCAGCCCGACAAAAGGAGCTTGCTGAAGTACAAAAAAGTTGCTTGCCTCGTTACCAGCGCTGCACGTTTCTGCCATTCTGTCCCTAGCCCGGTCTTTTCCCACCGAGTTACTCTCAAGACTCGGGCGAGAAAAGTGTATTCAGCATCGCCGCTGCCGCTATTTCTGCAATCCGTACTTTGCTCGCGCCTCACATATCGACCAGCTGGAACACACAAAAGGGGTCTGGGTTCCGTATTCGATCGACTCGTCCCTCAACGTACTTTACGTTTCCTTGCTCTGTACATCGACGTCGAAGAAACCCATACCTTGGGGCTTGACCCAAAGCATTGGTATCCTCACAGCACGACATAGTTGCATCCACGAACAAAGCTTCTACAGATCTGCATCTACACACGAGTCGACCGACTCAGACTTTCTTGAAATCATATTCTTCCACGGCACCAGACGAAGCTGCGCGCGCCAACATCACATAAGTATCATCAAGCACGATCGACGACACGGGACACACATCCTTTTACTCAAAGTTATCAGTAAAGGCAATCCCCGTCCCTCCGCTCGCCAACGCACGCCAGATATTCACTTCGCCAGTTCTCCGTTCTTCTGCACGCCGTCAGGCTCGAAGCTTCCGAAACACGGACGCCTCTCTTGCTCTCCCTTGCAAACCGTGGCTGGGCAACAAACCCTAGCTACCTACACAGCGACACGGGCACCCTACCGTCTTGGCAGTATCCAGTCCCATCTCTTGGCTTTCTGGGCCCCTGTCAACTCACTAACTAGCACCTTAATTAATTCCGAAGCCCCCAAGCCAGCCCTCCCCCGCCCGTCACAGTCATCCACTTGTCGTCCCCGCCGTGCTGCGACCCCCTTGGCCAGGCCCTCCAACAACGCCGCCCCTTGATCTGCACTCCTGTGTTTGGGCGAGAAGAACCCAGACGTTCAACCACAAGACGAGGAGTTGGCCTGAGTAGCAGCAGCAGCAGCAGGACGATTATCATCATCATCATCATCATTGTGCCTGCACGTGTGCCTCCACGCCCCCCGACTGTCGACCAAGTCAGCAAGCCGGAGCTGCACGTCAGCTGAATTACCAGCTAGCCCTACATCACTGGATCTCGTTTGCCAGCGGACCGCACCCATTGACGGACCTCCCTGACATCCATCTCCCCTGATCCTAGTTCTTTTCCTGTATCAAGCAGGCTCTCCGCTCTTTCGACAGCAAGACACGACGACACGCAGTTCCTCGTTGTCTTGTGGAAGCCTTCCCAAGTACCACGGAATTCATTCAGTGCTGCGTTCTGTCTCGAGCCACAACCGAGTAACTTGCGCCAGACGATACCTATTCTTCGCGGCCCAGTTTCTCACTGCGGAGACAACCACACGGGTACCAGCCACTTTCGAGTCGTTTTTGCGCCCTCGTTTTTGCGCACCCCTGTTCGACGGAAGACGGCCTGCCCGTCCTCGAACTGCAGATCGACCATACCGCGTCACAGCCAGGAGAACTAAGGAGTCGAAAGATCTCGACGAAAAGGGAGTTTTGCGGCTCGAATACCGCGGTGTCTGGTAAGTTGCTGGTTTTTTTCTTGCTTTTGCCTTTTTATCGTGCGTCGCCAGCATTCCTTCACCAACCCAACAAACACCCTTGAGGTTTGCGATTGCGTACCGCCCCCATCTCCACCCTGCCAGCACCCGGAAGCAAGCTTTCAAGGACGCAGCACTCTGAAAATCGGGGGCGATTCTTTTCATCTGGTGTCGCTTCATGCACCACCACCAACCCCAGCTCTTCTGACAACCCTCATCCTGTCTTGTCCTGTGCTTGCTGCTTGTTGCGCCTACTCCTCCTCCTCTTCCTCCTCCACCTCCTCCACCCTGCTCCCCTGTTCCTAGCCTGTTTCTTCTGCCCTCTGCAACCCCCCTGGTCGCCCTCAATCAACCTCGAGCATCGCCAGCCGAGCCTGCACAGAGGACCACGAGTTGTGGTACTAGAACCAGATCTCCCCCAAACTCTTCCCCCTGCGAACATTTCGTCTCGTCTCTGTCCACCCGCCTCTGCACATCTCCGAAGCCACGCCCACCCACATACACGCACACACGGCATCGTCGCACCCTCACGGATTTCCAGCCCCAGGGCCCGTACCTAGCTGACAGCCACCGCTCTTTGCGACGTTAGAACGGAGAGCAGCGATTTTACGCACGGATTACTTTACTTTCGCCCTTCTGCCACGGAGCGCAGACAACAAGAGCGTATATAATAGGCCGGCGCTGTTCACCACGACGACGACCAAACACTAGGCGCAGGTTGCCCTTGATTTTGATCTTCGAAGCCCACATTTGCTGTCGCAAAGCACGCCCGCGACAGACGCACGTACATCGCAATTCCACTTAGGACAAAGTCTTTGCCCAGCTGGCTAGACCAGCGTGACTTTCAACGATAGAGTGATTCAATTCTCCCGCCCTTCCAAGTAACGCAACATAATGACAACCGCGGTAAGTCAAACATGGCCCTTTAAGCGAGCGACAGTCTACAACTGGGAAGGGAGGATGGAGCAGAGGGAGGAGAGGGGCGTGAGTCGTCCGAGGCCGCGCGCCCGCAAGACCGGTCCCTAGCGCACCAGCGATTCTAAGGCTTGATTCGCTGGCTCGGCACGGAAGCCCCAAGCCTGTGCGACGCTGACGCAGGTTGCATTTTCCATCCTCGCAACGCTGCCTCTACATCTCCATTGCTCATGTGCAATCCACTGCTCGATTACTGACGCTGGCGCTCGTTTTACTAGGCACGAGCACGAGGCTTCGGAAACTTCAACATGAACAACACACGAGACGACAACCCCGCCAAGGGTATGGCGTCTTTCCGCCCGTCGACAAAGGGCATTTGGGAGAATGCCTACCAAGGGAGCAAGCGAGGTACGTCTCTCACTGCAGGCAATGCAGCGCATCTACCGCGCAGCTTGGCTAACACTCCGCCGTCGTAGCATCCGACAACACCCTGCCCACAGGGTCTGGTGCTCTCATTCCCGATTCGCAAGCCGACACCTCTGCGTGGACCACGACGCGGCCGTGGAACCCCGACTCCACGCAAACCAGATCGACGTCAGGCAGCACGTCGCCCACCCGTACACGCGACAACCTCTTCTTCGATAATCCCAACGGAGCGTTCGGCCAAGCGCGTTTCGCAAATGGACGACCCAAGTCGTTCCTCGAGGAGGAGAAGGAGAACTCGAGCTACGGTCCCAACTTTGGCGCCTACGAGGCGGAGCGCGGTTTCGCCAGGCACGAGAAGCGCGGCTCGCAGGAACGCACGTTCATGACCATGGGGGCCGTTGGCGCCCCGCCCTCCCGAGATGGCAGCATTCCTCCTTCGAGGCATTCGGAGGAGTCTCACCACTCGCCTCCCGCATTCCGAGACACATTTGGCTATCCCTCCGGACATACGCCCAGCAACTCCATTGCCTCTCATGCCCAGCGTCCCTCCATTCCTGGCCACTCCTCGTCCTTCCCTTCACAGAGCAACACAACAAACAACAACAATAACAGCCGAAGTTACATGACCAACGGCAGGATGGATGAAGCAGACTTGTCGAGCCAGTTCAGCAAAGGCCTCAGCCTCGATGATACCGCTGCGCTGTCGCAGGTCCTGTCCAACGGCGGCAACGGGCAGTCGTTCCAGCTCAACCCTGGATCGCAGCCCTGGCTTGGTGGTTTCAGCCAGCATGCCCCCGACGTGTACAGCGACTACATGACGCAGTATTTGGCCAGCAAGCGTCCGTCTGTCGACCGCTACTCCCCGGCTCCCGCCGCCTACCGTGTCGCCAACGTGCCCAAGTCGTACTCCCCGCATCCCACCGACCCTTGGAGCCAGCGAGCGGCCCACCGGGATCCGAGAATGGTACCCGACTCGGAGAGGCGTACCCCCGCGCCCTACATGCAACCCCAGGCTCAACCCTTCTTCCCTGGACCGTACTACACGGGCCAGTATCCCGCACAGTTCCCACCGAATCTGTACGACTTCGCTGCCCGGGCGCCCATGATTCCTGGCTATGGTCTGCCCATGGGCTACCCTTTAACGGGACACATCCCCGTGCGGCCCGCCAAGGACCAAGACTCTGGCAAAGGCGTGCGCAGCGTGCTTTTGGAAGAATTCAGGTCAAGTTCAAAGTCGAACAAGCGTTACGATCTGAAGGACATCTATGGCCACGTTGTTGAGTTCAGTGGCGACCAACACGGCTCCAGGTTTATTCAGCAGAAGCTCGAGACGGCCAACAGCGACGAGAAGGACCAGATCTTCCGCGAGATCGAGCCAAACGCCGTTCAGCTGATGAAGGACGTGTTCGGCAACTACGTCATCCAGAAATTCTTTGAACACGGCAATCAGGTTCAGAAGAAGGTGCTGGCTGCGCAGATGAAAGGCAAGGTTGTGGATCTGTCGATGCAGATGTACGCCTGTCGCGTAGTACAAAAGGTATGTCAGCGCTGTCGTCGCCCAGTACGAACCAAACTAACTCGAACAGGCTCTTGAGCACGTGCTCGTCGAGCAGCAGGCGGAGCTGGTTGATGAGCTCCAGCCTGACATCGTCAAGGTTGTCAAGGACCAGAACGGTAACCACGTTGTCCAGAAGGTCATCGAGCTGGTCCCCCGTCAGTATATCGACTTTGTCATGGATTCCTTCCGCGGCCAGGTCAGCCAGCTCGCTGCGCACACGTATGGGTGCCGCGTCATTCAGCGCATGCTCGAGTACGGTACAGACCAAGACAAGGAGGTCATTCTCACAGAGCTCCACAACTCGGCCCAGGTCCTGATCACCGATCAATACGGCAACTATGTCACCCAGCATGTCATTCAGCATGGCAAGCCCGAAGACCGGGCCAAGATGATTCATCTGGTCACGTCACAGCTGGTGACTCTGTCGAAGCACAAGTTTGCGTCCAACGTTGTTGAGAAGTGCATCGAACATGGCTCACCCGAGGAGCGCAAGTCGATCCGCGAGCAGCTCACCACTATGGGACCCGATGGCACCAGCCCCCTCCAGCTGATGATGAAGGATCAGTATGGCAACTATGTGATCCAGAAGCTTCTCAACCAGCTTGATGGTGGCGATCGCGAAGCCTTCATCGAGGAAATGAAGCCCCAGTTCATCGCCCTAAAGAAGACCAGCACTGGTCGCCAGATCGCTGCGATCGACCGCCTAATCTTCGCCGCTTCTTCCCCCGCTCCTCCCCGTCCAGGCAGTAGCAAGGCGATGTCTGGACAGAATACACCTGCTCTGCAGGTTGATTCATCAGCCCCCACACCTGTTCTGACGATGGAGCCCAACAGCCCTCAGAGCAGCAGCCCGCCCAGCACGAACGCGAGCGCCGTCGGCGAGACAGCCGAGGAGGACCGCAAGGCCCAGCTCCACCCAGGCGGTGCTAGCCTCCAGGTGCAGGTCGAGGATGCCTAAAGCATCCCCGCCGTATTATTTCCCGTTGGATCTCCATAACAGTCCATGAACCATGGGTCTTTTCGACAATGTATTACAACATTACTTGGCCGTGTCACTGGCAAGCACCTCTGGCAGCCGTTACCGGCCACCACGCCTGGCCCCGATTTGCGGGCATGGCGTCACTACACTTCCTAATCACATGTTCACGACAGTTTCACTTTGAATTTACGGCCTCGAATATTGCGAGAGAACTGGACAATACAGCCATTACAACAACTTGCCCGGAGCATGAGGCGGCTGGGCTCTCCGGACAGCAAAACTCACACGGCGCAAGACGTTACGGATTCTTTTTTTTTTCCTCTTTCATCTACCACGTGTTCTTTTGGGTTTCATTGTCTCACCGTGAGATCGAGGGGTATGTCGGGCAGTCCTTCATAACGGTCTTGGGGCTTGGGTATGGAAGGTGCTTGGTGGCCCTGTTACGGCTGCCATGATGGGTTGAACGGTTTGGCTGGGACATTAAAATGGTATACACTAGTAGCTGGGAAGGGGGTGCACTGGTACATGGGAATCTGTAGTAATGGCGTGTCTAGCATTGATAGCCGCATTGACATGTGATGCCAATCTCGGTTTGTGTAGTACCACTGCAGTATGCAAATTAAGATCACGTCAGTATACCTTGACCTGTGCGAAGACCTCTAGCACCCTCCGTGAGAGCATTGCTTCGGGCAAGCTGGCGTCTCAGCCCAGCGTGGAATGCGTAGCTGGCAGCTCGTTCAGCGAGTGCATTTATTGTAAATACGACCAAAGGGCTTATCTCTCCGTAAATACGCCGGAATACCGCTCGGTGCCTGCTAATACAAGAAGATTGCCAAACCTCTCAGGGGCCTGGCCGAGTATACCTAGCGGCGAGTAACGATTGATCTGACAGAGCAGCTCGACCAACCTAATAAACCATAACCCTAATCCTCGACTCCCGCCCTGCCAGCCCTCCAGCTCCGCCTCTCCGTAAGTTTTTGCCGATCCCTCTAAAGTTCTTTCGATGACCGACCTTTACAGGTGAAGTGTCAGTGCTTGATTTCGGGCAGAGTGAAGAGGACTTCCATACATAGTCCGCAGGCAACAGAATATAAGTAGGGGTCCGGAATATATCTGAATTCTGGCCCTCCGCAGTACTGATATGTACGGTTTCGTAACCCTTAGGCCCTGAACAACCCCCCGATTGGTAGCCCCGCAGGGCTCCCTGACATGAAGCCTCTTTCTGTCGATGCTATAGAGTAACCTATTGCCGTTCGCTAGCCGGCGTACATCACCTATTGCAAGGGAGCCGGCGCCCAGCACTCTGCCATCTACAATTGGGCGTACGAGCTGTGAGATCGGCCCTCGAAGGCGAAGACGAAAATGGACAGGGCGAAACACTGTGGGCGAACAAACAACGAAGGCATCACGAGTTCCGGGGAACGAGACCTCCTGGAGGAGGGGGTGGGGGTGCAATGTGAGGGGTTATGCGTTGGACGTTGAGCGGCGCCTTCTCACCGATCGACCAGCAATAAGATACCGTTCATA